GGTTAAATTTAAATGAAGTGGCTGTGTTTAGCCCACTAACAAATTGTTCCCATTACTGTTACCTAAGTTTTTGTTTTCTGTTTCTTGCATTTGTTAGTGCAACTTGGAAAGTTTTGAGCAAATCTGAGATTCTACGTTCATGATGCACTTTACAAATCCTCTTAGCTACCTGTGTTAAATTGCGTAGATGTGGTTCATTATAGTACTTATGATGGTATTTGTTGTCATTCATAGTGGAATATTTATGGCCTCTTTCTAATCCCTTGATTTATGAGTAAGTTCTCAATGGTAGCTATTAAATCATCATTGAATTTTTGTGTGCCAGTGGGCTTGTAATTCTTATTATAAGTAGTTAATGAAGTTATCCCTGTGTTCATGGGTAAGAATGAGTTGTATCTTTTGTATCTAGCTCATTGGTCCCTAGAAATATGATCAAGATTGACAGCTGTGAGTCTTGGAAAGTGATCGGATGGAAATCATCAACTATGACAGTCATGTATCGTATATGATCCACTAATTCCAAGGCACTGATCTAGTACACTGCCATATAAGTGAGTAGGCTCAACAGTGCCCATAATTCGAACATTATCATTCTCATTTAGAAATTTCACTACTTTAGTTCCATTGGAGTTTGTTATAAACCCAACAATATTCTTATGTCTGGCATTAAAGTCTCCAAGAATGTGGGTAGGTTCACTACTGATGTGATCTAGAAAGGCATCATATAGTGACTGATTAGCTGGGGCATAAAGATAGAAGATACCGGAATATATTTTGACCACCATCCTTACCAGACTCTGCGGGGGAATGATTGAATACAACAAGTTCTTTCTAACATAGATCACACAACAGTTAGTTGACCTTAAGTTATATGATGTATATCCAGGCAACTTCGGGGGAGGTACTCCAAATCGTTGTCTACATCCCTGCAAATAAATGTCATCAGTTTCCTTGGTTGTACTAATATGATGTGTCTGGCAACCGCTTCCTGATGGAGGAAATATTCCATGAAAAAGAAATTGTAATCTATCGATTGTAGTAATATACAATATCTTGCTCATAGGACGGTAAGACTATTATGCTCGGGCAATAGTAAGCAAATACTTCACAGAAAATAATATAGTTGTACCTTATTATTTACATAACCATTTTCTCTGTTTCCCGGCATTTTGCCAGCACATTCCAAGGTAATGTTTACAACCAAGACTTGCTGCCTTCTCCAATACAAATTGTTTGAAATTCAGTAGGTACTTACACTTGTGGGATTGTTTCTGTGATCGAATGTACCATTCTGACTACTCTGCCATGCTGACTACTCTGCCATGCTGACTACTCTGCCATGCTGACTACTCTGCCATGCTGACTACTCTGCCATGCTGACTACTCTGCCATTCTGACTACTATGCACCCTTGAAGCCGCACATTTCGAACGTGTCCAAAAGTAAATCATAGGAGTGTATCCCAGAGTCCCACAAAGAACACACTGCCGATGTACTCAAAAAAGGAAGTCACTCAAGGAGAGCTTTCGGTGCCACCACGCCGCTCTCAGTGCCGCCACGCCGCTTAGTACTGATATTTCTATAAAGGCGATAGCTCGCACCTTACCTCTCTGGCCTCCATGAAAGTTACAGGAAGAAAACCCAAACGACAGCCCTACAGACCGAGCCATACAGACATACTACGAACACCACACCATTGATGTCAAGAATCCACCACTGATGTCAAAGACTCCACCAATAAGCACAACACCACTACTGACGACAACCACACAGCGGCTCGGCACAATACAGCACTGGCCACACTGCAGTACGATTCATCACATCAAAATATATATTGATTACAACACAACATTAACGAAAGAAAAATGACCACTCGACAACTTTAACAACAACATTGATCAGAGCACACAGTTGATAAAACAAAACACCATTAATCATGTTGATATAATATTAATCACACTACATCATCATTGATCACCACGCTATTGTTAATATCAAATCAATATTACTTATAGAACACAAATATTATCATAACAGACACAGCCATTCGCAACACAACTCCGTTGATCACAACACTAGTAATTGCAATTCAGTATTCCAGATTGCTTAATAACACAAGTGATCACAACACAGCACCATTGATCACTGTAAATATCACTGATCAGAATACTATAATAGCAGAGCAGTACCGGTAATCACAAAACATCACTGATTACAAGAGAATTAATCATTGATCATAACACAGTTTCAAGAATCACAACATGTCACCACCAATCACACCACAGCATTATTGATCACAACAAAACATCAAAAAATCACAGAAAACCCCATTGATCACAACACCATTGATTTCAAAAAATACCATTAATCACAACACATCACTGACCACAACACCTTTGATAGCAAACAAATTCACATATCACAACACAAACCCACTGATCACAACACCACTGATCACAACATAATGCCACCGAACACAACACTACAACACTGATCATACCACAACATTGATCACAACAGAATATCATTCTTCACAACACAACACCAGTGATCAGAAGGCAACATCAATGATCACAGCGCAACTCTTTTGACTACAACGCAGCTTCCTTAACCACAACACCACTGATAACTCCAGAACCCCCACGATCACAGCACAACACTGTTGATAACCCCGGGACCACGATAATCACAACACAATACTATTGATAACCCCAAGACCACGATAATCACAACACAAAACACTGTTCGTAATCCCAGAACCCCAATAATCACAACACTATTGATCACAACACATTAATCTCAAAATAACACTTCACAACACAAGACTGTTAATCACACCTAAACACCGATGATCACAATAAAATACCACAGATCACAGTACAACGAAACAAATCATGAAAACGAAGTATCAAAACAATATTATTAACACAGCAAGACCCTTGATTAAAACACCACTGATCCCAACACAATGCCATTGAACCCAAGACAACCCTAGTGATAACGTAGTCCCAGTGAACCCAAGACAACCCTAGTGATAACGTAGTCCCAGTGAACCCAAGACAACCCTAGTGATAACTTAGTCCCATTGAACCCAAGACAATAGTGATAACACAATCCCAATGAACCCAAGACAGCACTAGTAATAACAACACAACAGCAATAAAGCCAAGACAACACTGGTGATAACGCAACACCACTGATAATAACCTAAGAATGCTGATCACAAGACCATTAATCACACCACAATTGATCATACCACAATTGATAGCATCTTCGATCTCACCATTGATAGCAAAACCATTAATCACAACATAACATTATTGATCAAATATCAAGATCATTGATCAGTTCGGTTGATCATAACACCGCTGATCATAACACAGTTAATCACGGCACATCACCATTAATCAAATCACAACACCATTGCCTTACACCCATTAATCATAACACTGATCACAACACTTTAAATCTCAACACAACACCCCTGATCTCATCACAACACTATTGATCACAACATAACACCACTGATCACATAACACCACTCATAGCAACACACCATATCACAGCTGTTGATCAAAACATTAATTATCTTAGCAAACACCACTGATCACGACGCAACACAAATGATGACAGTACAACACATGTGATCCCACAACAGACTACAACACATTATCATCGTCTACAATCCTGTTGTTCACAGCACCACTGATATAAAACACAGCATCACTGATCACAACACACCACTGATCACAACACTGATCACAGCACAACTGAGCATAAGTGAACACATTTTACCAAAGCGCAACACTACTGAAGACAACTTCATTAATCACATCTCCACGGCATTGATCACAACACCATTAATCCCGACACATTAGCACTGATCACAATACCATTGATCTCTGCAAAAAAACATTGATCACAGAGCCTTCGATCACAGCACCGTTGGTCAAAACTCTATAATATCGATCGCAACACAACCCATTAAATACAAGACAAAAGCACAAATGATCACAATATTGATCACAACATCGTTGGTCATAACACCGTTAATCGCCAAAACATCCATCACAACACAAAATATGGATTACAACACAACTCCTTTGATCACAATACTATTGATCATGACAATGTAGCTGATCACAACACAGTTGATCAAGCCACAACAATGTGATTACAACACAGTTATACTGATAGCAACACAACACCACTAATCACACAAAAATACCAATGATCACAACACAACAGTCTTATCCACATATCATCACTATTGATCAAAACACCAGTGACCTTAACACAACGCTATTTGATACAACACTACTGATCACAACACAACACCATAGATCACAGCGGTACTGATTGCAACACAAAAGCGCTGATCACAATACAACTCTATGGATAACTCATTAACACTGTTTATCACAACACAGCAGTAGTGATCACAAAAGTGTTGATCACAACTCAAAATCTACATTATTCATTGTAACCCAATTCAGTTCATTATAACACAACACTAATCAACACACAACTCTGTTGATCACAATCCCCACCATTAATCACACAGCACTGATCACAAAACCACACGATTAATAACATCACAACACTGTCGACGATTAACAGATTAATTACAGAGAAACATCATTTATCACGAGATAACTTCACTGATCATAATACAACAATATTGATCACAACACAACATTCTCAATGACACCACAACTATAATCACATTCCAGCAATATTAATCACAACACACAGTGAACATTGTTCTCAGTTGCTTAATCACACGACAGTCACAAGACTATTAATCACTACTACACAACTGATCACACAAACGCTGCTCTTGTGTACAGGTTGTCATAATATTAAACCAAACATTACATGCGTCTCGTCCTGGCCACAGTTACTCAAAGCTCAACTATTTACTGATAAGAGCATCATGCACGTCACTGCTTTTTTTGCAACAGTGTAAATCTTAGGTGAATGAGTAGGTAAAAAACTCACACATGTGTGGAGGATAGTGGCCTCCAGTCGTGGCTTTCTTCACGCCTGGCGGCTCTCACCACCTTCTTCTGCTTTTAATAACACAGTTCACGAGTAGTGAGGATTTACGGTAGTGAATGTCGGGGCAGATATAGAGGTGGGTTGAGTGTGTGAGTGGCGAGTGTGTTAGAGAGGCACTCAGCAGAGGCACTCACTCCCAGGTGAGGATGACACCTACTAACTCAGACTCAGGTCGAACCTCTTGTCAAGCATCTCGGAAGTGGCTTCCTTGTGCACCCGCCTCGCACCACTCATCCAGCCTGACTACTACTCTACATCTACCTCACTCTGAGCCCAGACTCGCTTTCTAACACCATACGGCAGCTAGATCAGGCTGCATTTTTGCGCTTTGTACACACATTGCGGTACATCGTCGTGCGCGTGGCAGCGGTGTGACTGTGGGCAGTGGTCGCAGTACGAGAGTTGCCAAGGTCGTCTGCTCTGGGCCGACCTCACCTCGTAACCCGGACGTACTGATGCCATTTTCGAACTGTTTCTATACCTTAATACCTTCTTTATTCATCTTCTTGCTCTCAACGAGAAGAGATGAACACTTGCGGCGTACTCGAGGCTGAGTAGACAACACCTGCCACCTCCGGCTGTCACAAACGGGGTGAAAAGGAGATGGCAGCTTGCTACGTCTGGAAGGTAGATAATTTGCCAGGGAGGATGGCACCTGCGCCCGGACACAGTGCCGTGTTTTTGTTCCTTTGCTTCTTGATCATCTCACGCACATCCTGGTATGTTGAGCGCCCTCCCGTGGTAATAACTAGGCCCAGGTGTTACTACACACAGGTTCTATTACCACAGTGTCTTGCCACAGGATAGATGGCACCCACCGTGGGTAGTGACCCAACCATCGTCACACAACCATCGTCACACAACCATCGTCACACAACCATCGTCACACAACCATCGTCACACAACCATCGTCATACAACCATCGTCACACAACCATCGTCACACAACCATCGTCACACAACCATCGTCACACAACCATCGTCACACAACCATCGTCACACAACCATCGTCACACAACCATCGTTACACACAACTATCGCCACACCACTATCGTCACACAACCATCGTCACACAACCATCGTCACACAACCATCGTCATACACAACCATCGTCATACACAACCATCGTCACACAACCATCGTCATACAAACATCGTCACACACAACCATCGTCACACACAACCATCGTCACACAACCATCGTCACACAACCATCGTCACACAACTATCGTCACACACAACCATCGTCACACACAACCATCGTCACACACAACCATCGTCACACACAACCATCGTCACACAACCATCGTTACACAACCATCGTCACACAACCATCGTCACACAACCATCGTCACACAGCCATCGTCACACACAACCATCGTCACACACAACCATCGTCACACACAACCATCGTCACACACAACCATCGTCACACACAACCATCGTCACACACAACCATCGTCACACACAACCATCGTCACACAACCATCGTCCACACAACCATCGTCACACACAACCATCGTCACACACAACATCGTCACACAAACATACGTCACAACAACCATCGTCACACACAACCATCGTCACACACAACCATCGTCACACACAATCATCGTCACACACAATCATCGTCACACACAATCATCGTCACACACAACCATCGTCGCACACAACCATCGTCGCACACAACCATCGTCGCACACAACCATCGTCGCACACAACCATCGTCACACACAACCATCGTCACACACAACTATTGTCACACACAACTACCGTCACACAACCACCGTCACACACAACCATCGTCACACAACTATCGTCACCAACACCAGTAGCACTTTGCAAAACCCAGGCTGTGTAAACCAAGTTTGTAAAACCCAGGCTGTGTAAACCAAGTTTGTAAAACCCAGGCTGTGTAAACCAAGTTTGTAAAACCCAGGCTGTGTAAACCAAGTTTGTAAAACCCAGGCTGTGTAAACCAAGTTTGTAAAACCCAGACTGTGTAAACCAAGTTTGTAAAACCCAGACTGTGTAAACCAAGTTTGTAAAACCCAGACTGTGTAAACCAAGTTTGTAAAAAAAAACTTTGCTTTTTTATTTCACACACAAATTTCAAGTACATAAAAAGTACAATTATAAACATGAAGACGTCACTGGCACACACGGACGTCACTGGCACACACGGACGTCACTGGCACACACGGTTATGGAAACCAAAAAAACACTGCCACATTTTACTCGTAAATTTTCTATCGCCTAGAGAGCATCAGTGACGTTCTTTGTAAGAGGAAACCATTCAGTCTGTTATTAATTGAGGTAGCAGCAGTCAGTGCACATGCTATCTATCTAGTGTGAGGCCCGTGAAAGACGATCTCCACTGACTGTCGCTGGATACTGTCAAAATATCTTTGAGGAAATACATCACCTCTTCCTCCATACCCTGCTTTTCATTCAAATTCATTCCACACGGGGACTGTTGTTGTTCACCTTCCCTAACATTTACCTCGTGAAGATTCAACCTGTCCCCTTTACAAACATCCTAGAACACACTGGTAAGGTTCCATGGTAGATGAACCAACTCTATAACCCTTTTCTCACAGTAAAGCCAAAATCTTGTACAACTTTACCTTTTACTGTAACACTGGTCATTCCACAATGCTGATACGGCTTTAGACCATTAAAATGCATATTACTCTGTCCTTTTCTGATCGGGTTTGTAGATTTTATTATTTTCGTCAGACTCATTATCCACCATTAGGTACCATTCAATGCGCCTTATCAAAACTTACACAGGAATCGGCTTCAATTCCATTACCTTCTCTCCAGCCTCCAGAGTATGTAGCACCATCTCACGGTCCCAAAGCGTTATCCTGGTCAGACTGGCAGGCACGTTCACTGGTGCCATCCACTTCATATCAACCAGCCCAGCACGGCAAATAAAAGAACGGGTATGCCTTCATCCCAGGCCACCTGGTACTGCATACAACAAACATACATCCTCTTCCTGAGAGACTGGTGAAGCCGCTCCATCCCTTCTTCCCTGACTCTTGGAGTGATAGTGGTAAATTTATTCTTAATATTCAAGACTCCCAAAATTACTTGGAAATATTTTGTAAAATTACACTTATAATCACCTACCACAACTTTGGAGCGGCACAATTTCGTCAGCAGCGGCATCATCTCCTTTCTGAATTCCGCCTAGTACTGTAGACTTCTGCCTATATCTCTCTAGCAACATCTGTAAGCCAATGAAACTACATCCTTCACTTTTTCATCTGAAAATTCGCTCTGATCTAGAGAAATAACTGCTGGTAACTGTCTACAATCATTCTGTGGCCACTGCTCTCACCTGCTAGTTTTCTCAAATGACGACATAACGAGAAAAAAATGGTCTTTCTAAAATAATATAGGAACAAGCTTTATAGCTTTATACAAATTAAATATTTCCACATTTTTACTTGTTCCCTGCTGGTAAAGAAATCTCTCTCTCTCTCTCTCTCTCTCTCTCTCTCTCTCTCTCTCCTCTCTCTCTCTCTCTCTCCTCTCTCTCTCTCTCTCTCTCTCTCTCTCTCCAGCCACTAAGGATTTCCTTCTGGATCTTTATACGTTCAGTCCTACTCAGGTGTTTTTCCTCTTGAAACAGCGCTAATCTCTACCTTATAAGCTCTGTTTTAGTTCTGTCATTATAAGCAGTGGGGTTCGATCCGGCGTCAAGATACCTGTCAACACCAGCTGCTCTACTGTTGACAAACATTTAGGAAACAAGTGGCGGAAAGAAAAACCTGTTTATTATTAAGCGGAAATTTATCATGTAAGATAAATCACAATAAGCCAAAGCTCCAAAAATTGTTAGACAAAATTTTAATACATTGACAATTATTATCATTAAATACCTCCCTAAAAATCGTCAAATCTGAACAAACAAAATCAGACAGAAAATAATTGTTTATTAATTATTACACCTGAAAAAGGTAAATTATTACTTACTGTTAATATTTTACAGTAAATCTTTCCTTATAATAAAAAGCATTATAATTATAATGAATACAACTAATTGATTTTTCCAGTATATTTAAAATACATGAATAAATACCACTAGTAATTGATAATATTATTACCCCCACCAGACCCAATGAAATAAGCGATTAACATTTTTAGGGGGCCGGTTCTCTACAATATACTTGTTAGGGATATGTGAATAGTTAAATATAAAATAAATCGTGAGATTAGACCACTTAATGGCAGCCAATGGAAAGTCTTTCAAACTTTTTAAGGATTATACCTAGTGTCTCAACTTCACTATGTACGTTTTTTAAACCATGTCACCCCAAATAACTAAATGTTAGAAGGTGGATACTTAGGCGCCATAGTGGATTTCAAACTTTCCTGATTTAAAACTTCTAGCGCATAAGTGTCAATACTTACACTTGTGGTTTTAATACATTCACCACTGATGTCAAATGTTAGGCCACCTGGGGTGGTCAATACTTTAGCCTGAGGTGGTCATCTTAGCCCTGAGGTGGTCAATACTTTAGGCCGCCGAGTGCATATACCGCCTGAGGTGGTCAATACTTTAGGCCGCCTGAGGTGGTCAATACTTTAGGCCGCCTGAGGTGGTCAATACTTTAGGCCGCCTGAGGTGGTCAATACTTTAGGCCGCCTGAGGTGGTCAATACTTTAGCCGCGAGTGTCAATACTAGGCCGCCTGAGGTGGTCAATACTTTAGGCCACCTGAGGTGGTCAATACTTTAGGCCGCCTGAGGTGGTCAATACTTTAGGCCGCCTGAGGTGGTCAATACTTTAGGCCGCCTGAGGTGGTCAATACTTTAGGCCGCCTGAGGTGGTCAATACTTTAGGCCACCTGAGGTGGTCAATACTTTAGGCCACCTGAGGTGGTCAATACTTTAGGCCGCCTGAGGTGGTCAATACTTTAGGCCACCTGAGGTGGTCAATACTTTAGGCCACCTGAGGTGGTCAATACTTTAGGCCACCTGAGGTGGTCAGTCCCTCAGCTGAGGGACTGACCACCTCAGAACTACGTCTTCAAGGATGATGGAATGATGACGTCAGTCCAACATTCTTGAAGATTGCTTCTGCTGATATTAATCAGTGAGATTGACTTTATTGGGTTACATATGTTCAATCTACATAGTGTTCATTTAATAAATATTACTAATTACGCACATATTTACTTATACTTTAAACGTTGGATTTATTTTGGTCTGTGTTGGTCCCAGTTTGTCTTATTTCTAGCGAAGAAACTGTGATTATTTCTGAGTGCCTCGTCTGAGTGGATT